ATTGGTTAGTTAAATATATGCCTCTCATACACAACCCAACTTTAAGTGAACCCAGCACACAAAACTACAACCCTAATCCAAAGAAACAAGGGAGTTAATATTCGCCAAAGGATTCACAATGGTTGTCTTTAAATAGCAAACTTCCCTGGCACACTGTGAGATATTGCATCACTCACAAAAATTCTATTTGCCAACTTTCCAGAAGCATCTGCTATTTAAAGTAAGCCATATCTCTGACAACTGTGAAGAACTCTGAGGCTGTTCCAGAGGATCTGCCTCCTAAGATTGGGTTTTCATTTTCATTTAGAGTTCATTAAAAACCTTTCACAAGCTTTTGTTTGTTTGGCTGTTTGGTCTTTTGGTTTTTGGTGGTACTGGGGTTTGAACTCAGTGTCTCATGCTTACCAGGCAGGCACTCTACAGGCTAGCTTCAAAGGATATGGAGAGGAAAGCTTTTTAACCACTCAACAGAAAATGAAGCACAGGCATACAGTATGTACCATTATCACTGCATCTGACTCTGAGTTGCAGGGACACGGCACAAAGGAGACAGTGTCAGTAACATAATTTTTATTTATTAATGTTGCAAAAAGCAAATCAGTGGGAGGGTACTTGCCTAGAGTGTGTCATGCCCTGGTTTCCATTCCCATCACTGCAAGAAAAGAAAAAGATAAAAAGCCCCCAAGAAACATTTCAGTGCTCAGTAGTTAAGAATACACATGCTTTTAGCCAGGCACCTAGTGGCTCACGCCTATAATCCTAGCTACTCAGGAGGAAGAGATCAAGAGGATCGAGGTTCCAAGCTAGCTCAAGCAAATAGTTCGTGAGATCCTATCTCTAAAAAAAAATCCATCACAAAAAAGGACTGGTAGAGTGGCTGAAGAGTTCAAACCCAAGTACTCCAAAATAAGTAAATAAAAACAAATAAGTAAATAAATAAAAAGAATACACACTTTAAAAATAAGTCAGATTCAAAATTTGGGGTTTTTAAAACAGTTTAGTTGTATGTTTTGAAAGCACACACAATCACTGCCCTCTGGTTCTGCATTTGCCACCTTCTGACATCTTGAGCTTATATGGCACAAGGTAAAAATATCTGCAGCGCCCTATGAAGAACAGAGCCAAATTTCAAAGGCTGGAAAGAATTCTTTTTGGAATCTGGCTTTCCAAAGAACCTTCCACAAAGCTGTGTCACATAAAGTCAACAACGGCAAGGGAGATGAGACTCTGCCTGCCCTCCCAAGGACCTCTGACACCATCACCCCACCTGGCTATCAGAGCTTGGAGTGGGCAGAGTGCCTACTCTGTATGGAGAGCCATTTCAGGACCTGTGCATCTTTCAAAGCCTGCTTCCTACCCATCCCAGACTGATCAGTGGCAAATCCAAGGCAGCACTCAGCAGCATTGCTGCAGGCCAAACTCAAGGTCAAGGCCTACCCGTATGCTTCATTAATAATTAACACTGTCAGTCACTGGGGCTATTACATGCTAAGGATAGTTGAGTGCTTTAGAAGTCTTATCTCATCTAATCCTAAAAGAGCCCTGAGCTGGGTGTGCTGATAACTACATCTGATAAGGAGACCAGGTAACCCTTCCCAGCTCAAATAGGCTGGTCAGAAAAAGCCTAACAATTTCTGCATTTATCTCACAGGCCTCTGGACACAGGGCATTCCCTGAGCCAAGCCATCATGCTGTGTAAAACTCTGTATAGTTTTGGGGCCAAATTTAGCTGGGCCCCAAAAGTCATCCAACTGTATTTGTCCATTTTCTATCAATATAACAAAACACAGGAGGCTGGAAATCTTTACAAAGAAAAGAGATCAAGTACATTGTATGACAAAATCCTAATGAAATCCACTTTTTAAACCTGCAAGAAAGTTTTTGTTTGGAGGAGTACTGGAGTTTGAATTCAGGTCTCATGCTTACTAAGCAGGTATTCCAATCACTTGAGCCATGCCTCCAGCCACAAGAAAGATTTTTTAAAGGGGGAGTTGGGGGAATAAGGAAGGGTAATAGAGGAGGTGAATATGAACAATGTATATTATATGAATGTATGGAAATATCACAACAACCCCATACACACATCGTACAATTAATATTCACTAACAAAGGAAAATGTGGGGAAAAAAAAAAGGTTCATTTAACTCACGGTTCTAGCAGGTCAAGGGCCCGCATCTGGCGATGGCCTTCTTGATGTCAGAGTCCAAGGTGGTGCCTGGCACCACATGACAGGAGACTGGGAGCATGTGGGTGTGGGTGTGTGTCTCCTGCTCTCTCTCCCTTATTATAAAGCCACCAGTATTCAATCTGTGGCTTTCACCCTGATGATCTTATCAAATCCTAATCATCTCCTAAATATCCCATCTCTAAACACCATAGTCAAATTAAGGTTCCACCCTATTACTACCTCACAGTAGGGATTAAACTCCTGCACAAGCTTTGGGATACAAGCCATATTCTAACCATAGTACCAACCCAGGCCCCAGACACTCCAGGTCCAGACTTCAGGAACAGAAGTAAGCCAGCCTCATCAGGCCCTGTCCAGAGTCCTGACCCACAGGATCTGTAAGAATAATAAAATGCTGGTGGTCTTGAGCTTCTAAGCTCAGAGTGATTTGGTATACAACAATGGTAATAACAACAGAATTCAGCCACACTCTCCTTATTCTACAGATAAGGAAAAATGCAAAGCACAGTAAAGGGAAAGCAACAATTGAAACATGGAAGTGACTCAAAAGACACAGATGAAACCACTAAACTATACTGTACCTCCCATGTACCATTGTGTGTGTGTTTGTCAACGCCATCTCTGTCACATTAATCACAATACTGCCTGTTTTAGGAGGGCCTTCTTTGGCCTTGTTTGGGGCATACAAGACAGTGGTTCTCAGACCTGAAAGCACATCCAATCTCCTGTAGGACTTGTTAATCACAGATGGCAGGTCCCCAACCCCTAGGTTTCTAAATCTGACAGTGGGCCCCAGACTTTGCATTTCTGAAAAGTTCTCAGGTAATGCTGCTGACCCAGGAACAACTTTGAAAATCAACAGTCTAGCTACTCCTGAATGGGGTGATAGAAGTTTCCAAAGTGATGCTTTTTTGGAAAAACTGTTGTCATACTGGCTTCATCACACAAGACAAGTGGATCAAAGCAAAACATTTCCACCACTTCCACAGCTTTCTAGGTGTCTCCCAGGACAGCCGTGAATGCCTCATCACCAGTCTAGTTTGGAGACACTGACAAAGGGCAGTTGTAACAGATATGCAGATAGATTTAATCATTCAGGGTAAGAAAGCTTCAGAAAAGCTATTTTTCTAAAAGTCAAGTTTTAGGAAGCTCAGCATCTGCCTTCCGTAGCTATAAAGGCCACATCTTCAGGGGCAATACCTGAAGGAAAAGGGGAGCAGAAGAATTCTTTGTTGACCACACCTGCCTCTGGCTCAGGATGAGGTCTTCACTGTCATCCCTGAGGCCTTATCAGCTGTAACTGCAGGAGCCAACCATGGACTTCCCCTATGACCTTGGCTTCCTGAGTCCAGGGGCGGTTTCCTAATGAGCTGCACTTGCCCTTCTGCAAATCACTTTCTCCCTTCAAGGGCACATTCCATCAACTCTGCAAACCTCAGGGTTTCTTTTCATTCCCCCATTTAGTTGAAGAATACTTGCTGACTCAATCTTAAAGAAAACATTTATCTAGTAAGTGACTCATTTTGATTAAACCCACAAAGTAAAATGCGATAGGAAGGGGGAAAGCTGGTCCAAAGTTCCTTTAAGATTCTGAGTTTGAAAAATAGACATGACCTGTAATATCATGGCTATTCCCGGATATAATAAATCAAAATTGCTACTTCTAATTGACCAACAATAAGTACTGTGTCTATTCCATGCCTTCCAGCCCTCTGTTCCCACAGACAGCCTAACAGGTGAGCATTACTGCCCCATTTTACAAATGAGGCGACAACTCTCAGAAATAGAACTGGGATGGTGGAATTAGGGAGACACCAGCTCCCACCTCTAAGTTTGGGCCTGGTGCAAGGCACAACCTTGCCATGGAGACCTGCAGTTCATTTCTTAAACATCCTCCAGACCCCATTATCCCCACCGGCAGGACAGCAGCCACTCTGGCCACCCCACCAGCTACCAGCCTCTCCTCATCCGGGCCTACGTGTCTAGCAGGGGCAAGTAGCTCCTAAGCCTTCTCCCCTTTCTGCCTTCTCAGTGTTTCAGGTGATTAAGGTGAGGGGGCAGCTCCCAGATCTTAGACCAACAGTAGGGGATCCGGGCTGGACAGAAATCAGACTACCTGTTGGTGGCGTTGGTTTCTGGGCTGTCCAGCTCCACCAAGTCACCAAGTCTAAGGCAGGAAGTGTGTCTTTGCCGCGCAGTTCTTTGAGGCTGAGAACTTCCCGCCCACACTCCTCAGAGCAATTTGATAACCAGCCGCTGGGCCACCCCCACAGCTCTGTTTACGCTTCAGGGTTTGCCCCCAGGGAAGTCGCGGGTGCGGCAGCTGGTGGTGACAACCACCCACCTTTTGGTTTATACTGCCAGTCACGGGACAGGTGCGGGGAAGGCCAGGCTCCAGGTGCACCGCTCTCTGCACCCCATCCTGGCCTGGGTGTCACCACTGCTCCCTGCAGACTTGCGCCCCGCGGCCTGTGAACCCCAGTAATTAAATCTAGAGAGAGCCCACCGGGAAGCTGCTCTGAGGTGAGGCCAATCTAACAGCTGGCCGAGTCTCTACCGACACTGGCCAGAGCAGGAAAAGCGGATTCAGGGCGCTCAGCTGGCGCGTCCGGGTGCTGAAGTCTCTGGCCCCGGGTGGAATGCGGGACCTGGGTGATGTGGCTCAGAGCTTAGAGTTGGGTGGGGCAGAATATCGGGAAGGGGCTCCCGTAAGGTGACAACACCAAATGCAATTCTCAAGGATCGTGGGGCTCCTTGAGTCTCCTCGGGAAGTCTGAGTTGGGGGCGTCCCGGATCCCTGCAGCCAACTCACCGGACACATTTAACTGGCCTCCCAGGAACCAGCCAATCTTGCCCGTGCTGAAGTCACAATCCCAGACGGTGTGGTAGGGAGTGTCCCACACAAGCGTGTCGCGCGCCAGCGGCCCCCAGAAGGCGGCGGGCTCGTGGGCCGCCTGCGCGCTCAGCGCGGGGTACGAGCCGGGCGGCGTGGTGGCTGCGGCGGCGGTGGGGGCGCTGCCCGAGGGCCCGGAGGCCGCCCGGAGCTGAGCGCTCACCGAACACTGTGGCCACCCCAGCTGCCCCCAGCGCCCGCGCAGACTGCCCAGCAGCCGTCCGACGCCGCGGCCCAGGCTGCGCACCGCCATCTCGTTCGACACCCTACTGCGGGTGCCGGGGGCCCGGGGCACCGCTTGGAGTCTCCGCGGGCCCCGCCCCGGCTCCGCCCTCCGGCCGCCACCCACTCCTCGCTGGTCTGAAGCTGCTTCCTTGAGCCCGCCGGGGAACAGGGGCCTGCGAGGGAAAAGGGGAGCAGCCTGGAGAAGGGACGCAAGGGAGAGCCGGACGGAGCAGGGACCCTGAGCCCGGCTGATCCGCGATGCGCGGGGCTGCTCTGCGCTCTAGACGCCTGGGCGTCGGGCTGTTTGGGTTTCTGCGCGCCAAAAACAGCCAGCTTCTCCACGCGGGGCAACAGCAGAGAGGCAGGTGCGTCGGGCGCAGGCTCCCGACCCGGAGTGGGAAAGAGAGGGAATGGAATAATAAACGGATGGAGCGATGGGCGCTCACAGATGGGTCTGAAGACCACAGGTCGATCAGTTTAACATCACGGAGGCTGACGCTAAAGTTTTATTTCTTTGACGCTCCCTTGAGAGTGAACCCCTTCCCGGCAGTCCTGGCCTGTACCCCATCCCGACGCACACCTAAGTTACCTGCCTGCGGCTGTAAGCTAATGGTCTGAATGAGCTGGCGAAGGTGGGAGGTTCAAGCCAGGGAGCTGTGCAGGCCTGAGTTTCTGGTCCAAGGCCTGATGTTCATGTCAACCACCTGCTGACCTTGGCCCTGGCAGGGTCATTCCTGCCCAGGGAAAAAGTGTAACAGGGAAACTAAGGCTCTTGCTAAACCTTGGCTGATTCGGGGGCGGGGTGGGGGGGCGATAAGGGTTTTTCTCTGCTCCAGCGTCTGTGGCTTGGGTCCCAACTCTGGCATTTCTAGTTCTGTGACCTTGGGCATATTCCTTAACTTCTGTGTGCCTCATTTTCCTTTTCTGGAAAACTGGAGTACTCTCTCTCTTGTAGGCTGTGGTAAGGAATAAATTAGATGTCTGTGAAATGTCTGCCTCTGGTTGGCATGGTGCATAGTAAGCGCCATGGTGAAGAAGGTGTTTTTGTTGATGAGAAGCCAAGAAAGGTAGGGAAAAAACTTGTCTCTACCGGGTTCTTAAATATTTCAACACCCAAGAAGTAAACACATAATAATGAAGAGAATGGGGGAAGGGGTGGATAACTGGTTTGTTGGGTTCTTTGGGCTGATAGAGTCCTTGCTCTTAGAAGTGAAAACTGTAGAGGGAAAGAGTCTGCCCACGTGAGGGTCTGCGATGGGGTCAGCTGCCAGCCCCTATGTGGGGAATGCTGCTTCCTGCCAGAGGATAGAAAGCTGTAAGGCAGTGGCAATAGCTAACACAACACAAGCTCCGGCTTGACCTGCATTTTCTACTTAGCTTAAAAGTTATTTAAACTGTGCACACCTATAGTCCCGGCTACTCAGGAGACTAAGGCAGAAGGATCACTGGAGCCCACCGGTTTTAGTCTGGGTAACATAGCAAGACCTCATCTCAACAAACAAAACTAAGCCAAATAAAACAAAAGTCTGGCTAGGGCCCAAACTGGCAAGTCTCAACAGAAAAAGGAAAACAAAAAGTTATCTAGTGCTATCAAATGATCATCATCCCCCTAGTGGAACAAATAAAGAGACAGTCCAAACAAATAAAAAGACTTACTAAAGAGGACATGGTTGGCTAATGGAAGAGGAAAGCCGGCACCCCAATTATACCACTAAATTCCCCTCTTACCATATGGATAGAATTAGAAATAGAGAAAGATCATAATGGAACACACCTTCCTCCCTCTTGTGTACTTGATGGCTTGCTGCTCATTGAGACCATGATGGGCTGGGGGTGTGACTTAGTGATAGGGTACATGTTTAGCGTGCACAGGTCTTGGATTTAATCCTCAGCCCTTTCCCTGTTAAAAGATGAGGAGCCTGGTTTCCTCCCCTTGAGTCTGGGTGAGCCTCCACTTGCTTTGATCATAAAGACCTGGCAGAGTGATGTTCTGACCTTGACCCAGAGAGGCCCCACAGTTCCAGCTCCTGTTTTGGCTCCCAGCTGCCATGCTGTGGTCTCCTTTCTGGAGGCAGAGACCCCGTGAAGAGAACAGACTGCAGCCCACAGCCTGGACCAATCCCCATCCAACTCATGAGTCCACCTTGGATGGTGAAGCTCACCAAGGCATGGGAGCTTCATCCTTGGTACAAAAGAGTCTCCCAGTCAATTCAGAGGACTGAGACGTAATTTATGGTTGCCTTAAATCATTAAATGTGGGAGTGCTTTGTTTCCCAGCCAGAGATAGCTGATACAACCGCAACCAAAAATGCATGACTCTTAATCTCCTCACCTTCAAAGTGTTAGGGGGAGGGGAGGTCCCAGAGTTAAGTTCCCGCCCTTCCTGCTTCCCTCCTGCCCTTGAGTCAGAGGCCAGCTCTATTCTCTGTCTCTCCTATGGCCAGGACCTATGCGCCAAATTTCAGTCCCACATTCAAATGTCTAATTAACATCCCAAGCACATCATATCCTGTGAATTATTTCTTCAAACACTGATCTTCCAGGTCAGGGAATGGAAAACATATTTTCTTTTGTTCAAGTGTATACCCTTGTAGGCAACCCCTGGGTGGGGAAGACTGGCCTTCAGAATATTCCCCATCACCCTTTCCTCCTCCATCCAAACCACACCCTTCTCTTTTTTGGATTATTCAGTCGGCTGCTAATTGCTTCCATCCTTGACCACTGTAGTCTAACCAGCAGCTGGTACAATTCCTTTGAAACAAAGGTCAAAGGCTGAGGAGGTAGCTCAGTTGTTGCGCACTTGCCTAGCATGCACAAGGCCCTGGGTTCCATCCCCAGCACCACAAACAAAATAAAGAAAACAAGCATCCGATGAAATTGATCTGCAGCTCAGAACAATCCAAAGACTCCTCAGTTCCCTCAGAGAAAGGCCACATAGTTACCCGGGCCCACAGGGCTGCATCCTTGCCACTCAAAGGGTGGTCCATGGACCAGCAGCATTGGCATCACCTGGGCACCTGCGAATGCAAAGTGCCAGGCCCATCAGACTTGCTGCAGCAAAATCTGCATTCTAATACATCCCCAGGAGACCTCTGTGCGCATTCAAGTCTGAGAAATACCACCTTGGCCAGGTACAGTTTTATGTGCCTGTAGTCCCAGCTACTCAGGAGCCTGAGGCAGGAGGATCACTTAAGCTCAAGAGTTTGAAGCCAGAATGGACAACATAGCAAGACTCCATCTCAAAAAGGGGAAGGAGAAAGAAAAGAAAAAACATTGCCCTGCCTGATCTAGCCTCACCTGTTCCAGGATCCCACCTCCTCCTCTGCCTCATTCACTCAGACTCAGCCACGCTGGCCTCTTCCCATCCCTCCAACCATCAGGCAGTTCCTGCCCCAGGACCCTTGCACATGCTGTCCCTCCTGCTGGGAATGCTTTTCCTCCAGAAGTCCACATAGACCACCACCCCCAACTTCCTTCAGGTCTCTTCACACTTCCATTTGTCCACAAGTTCTTCTCTCTCACCTACATGGGTGATTACCACCTCAACCCTCATGCCCTAGTCTCAACCTCTGACTTCATTTTTTCCATAGTGCACATATATTATCTCGTTGTTTATATTCTCCCTCATCCTAGTAGGAGGGAACTCTATGAGCAGATGCCTATGTGTGCTTGTGGCCATGTCACTAGCACTTAGAACCATCCTGGCTCGGTAGACATTTGTTGAATAAATAAGAAAGAATACACAAAAACACCTATACAATAGCCATGAGATGTGTGGGTGATAGCTCTCTTCCCATCACCTTTGTTTTCTAAATTTCTATACTTTTAGAATGGTAAACATACATAGAATGATTTCTTTCCTCCCTCCTTCCCTTCCTTCCCTTCTTTCCTTCTTTCTTTCTTTCTTTCATTTGTTCTAATCCAGGGTCTCCTGCATGCTAAGTGCATGCTCTACCACCCAGCTACACCCCCAGAACCTAACTCTATTTTAAAATAAAGAAACACTAGGCAGTTACTGTTTCCTCTTCAGACTGGATAAAGAGAAGTAAATATGTGTACATTGAACATTGCAGAACAAACCAAATGATGCAGAATTATACTTTCCGCTGCCCAACTTACCCAACAGGCCATGTGGGGAACTTTCCTTCTGAGTGTCACAGCCTGAAGCCAAGACTGTCCCTGCTGCCTTTCAGCTGGCAGCCAGCAATCAGCTCTCTGAAAACTAGAAGAAAGGTGAGCTCTACCTGGTCCTAAGTCTACACATAGTTGCTTCCCTGGGGACCTCAGTTCTGAGAATGCTGTGAGCAAACTGGACAGTGCTGGTCACACTCTGTCCCCAAGAAGCCTTCTCTTTGACTTTAGCCAGCCCCAGTGCTGGAAGCCATGGGGCACAGGCTGCAGGGGGAGGAGGCTTGGGTCTCTGTGGGAATCCAGGACTCATCACTCAGTACTGTTAACTGTCAGGGATGATTCATGACCTTTGCAAGCCTGGGAGATGGATGCTCTTGTCCTCACTTCACCTGTGTGCAAGCAAACTCAGAAAGGATGGAAACCCCCAGAAACAGGCAGCTGAGCCATAACCCTAGCCTCCAGAGCTTACTGATCAGCATCAATGGGCCAGTCCACCAATACCTCTGCTGTTTACCTTCATAGCACCTACCACCCGCAGTTCTTGGAGAGCTGGAGCACACAGATGCTCCCAAATGTCAAAGGACAAAATCACAACAATTAAAAGCTTTCAATTGTCTTTATTTTCAATTCTAGAACTAAGGAAAACTTCATCCCATAAAGTAGACCAAGTGTTCCTGCGGGCTCAGCAGAGGGGTTGGTTTCAAAAGATAGAGAAGGGCTGAAGAAAGTAGGAACAAAGAGCAGAAAGTGGATTGGTTGTTTCAATGTCACTTTCCTTATAAGGTGGGGGCAGGGAGACAGAACAATAGGAAAATGACTGGTGGCTCCCCTAGGCTCCTCAGGTTCCTTTTTTTGTGTAAAGATGAAAGCAGAGGGAACTTCATCACCAGGCCACCGGAAACTGGCCTGTTTGGGAAGCTTGACTGTTCCCTCTATAATTCTGCTTCCTCTGAT